TCTCATGCCTCAGTTTCTTCCTCAGAAGCCTGAGGTAACTGGGACTGCAGTCTCAACTCCCACCTGGTTCCACCTCTTCCAGATCTGCCCCCCTCCAGCCAAGGGGTAGCCCTGACTTGATCCTCAGCAGAGATGCCCACGGGGTAGATACTCACAAAGATGGCGAAGTCCTTGGGGGCACTGGAGATGGTGCTGTTGGGTGACAAGGCCTTGGGCACGTGCTCTAAAGTGACAGCCGTGGGGCGGATACGGGCAGAAAGGCGGACCACAGCAAAGCCCTGCGGCCCCTGGAAGGCCCAGCAGTTGCCTGGGTGTACATCTGGCTGGAGGGGTGGAGAGTCATATTAGGGCAGGGCCCCGAGTCCAGCTCTTGCTGACCCAGGATGGGACAGTCCCCCGGGTGTGCTCAGAGCCTCTGCTGCTGTGCTGCTGGGTGCCCACCTGCAGGATGACTCGAGGTGACTGAGAGTGGTACCACAGGGGGATGCCGAAGAGGCTGAGGAGGGCTGTCTTGGTCTCGTAGGTCTCAGAACAGCGCGTGCTGATAACACTGGCCCCTAGGGTAGGAAGGGAAGGTAGGGTGGGCTCCAGCGGGTCGGGGGACCAGGCACCCAGCTCAGGCTATCGCCTGTCTCCTTGTTAAGACAGCAGGCAGTTGCCCAGGCCTAGTCTTTAGCCCTAACCAAGACCCCACGGCGGCTGTAAACACCAGCCTCTCCCAAGGTCAAGGATGGTGCTTGGTACAGCCTGACTGCATTGAACTGCTCACTGCCTTTGTGTTGAGTTCTAGGTTGGGTGATTTCTGCTCCTCCCAATCCCTGCTTGCCTAGCGCTACAACTACCCTGGAGATGGCAGGGGACCAACCACTGCCGGGACCAGGACAAGGCACAGCGAGGCCAGGGCGCACACACCTCCTGATTCCAGGGCGTAGTCCACCATGCCGATGCGGTCCTCGCTGTAGCGCTGCAGGGCCTGCTTCACAATGCGGTGTACCTGCTACAACAGGACACCAGAGAGGTCCCAGCAGGAAGCAGCCTCACCTGTCCCACACCCCACTGCCATGGCCAGGGACCCATGGCCGACCCCTCCTGTCCTGCACCATGCTGGTTCCCAGGCAGGTAAGGGCCTGCCTCTACCCATGGCACTGCCCCAAAGCACAGAGCCCCTGTATGGCACCTCTGTCCTAGAACGTGCCAAAGAGCTGGCAATGTGGGGTTGTCCAGGGAGGAGAGCCACATGTGTGTGTGGGAGGAGTAGCACTTGGTTCTTACCTCCTCAGTCACCCCGACCATGCCTTCCTTCTGCAGTGTCAGTCCCAGGGAGGTTGCAGTCTCCCTGGCCGACCTGCCCTGCATCTCTGTCACGTGGGCAAAGATCCTGCTCTCCAGCTCTTGCAGCTGGGTTTGCACCTCCTCTCTCTGGAGGAGCCCGGCATGGGTGCCGCCTCCTCGGAGGAGGAACTGGCTGATCCAGGCAGGGAACTGAGATTCCACCTAAGGACCAAAAAATGCCGTCACCTGGAAGGCTGGAGGGGACAGGAGCTGCTATGGTGGGGCCGGGTCCCAGGGCAGGATGGTGCTCAGCAGGTCGGGGAAGGAGAAGACCACTGGAGGAGGGCATTTGGAAAACTCTCCACGGGCATCAACAGGAAAACAGGAAGTGTACCCATCACCAAAAGCTGGTGTGTGCCCCAAGTGCAGCAGGCTCAGGGGAATAACAGGCTGCAGGGGCAGGGGGCGCCTGCAGTGCAGACCCCGGGGATGGATGGTCTCAGAGGAGAGGACATCCAATGGAGCCGCAACGGTTTCCACTCACGTCGTCCCGCACAGCCTGGATCTGCTGGGGCAGCAGGCCCACTTCACCCGCCACTGAGCTCTGCTTCAGCGCCAGGGCCGCCAGCTCCTGCCGCAGGCCTGCCAGTTGGTCCTCCAGCCGCCGCAGCTCCTTCTCAGAGCTCTCCTGGATGGCCTCCTGCGTCATCCTAGGCCAGAGAGAGAGAGAGAGAGTGAGTCAGCCTTGGCTTTCTTGGGTGAAGGTTAAGGCCATGCTGAGGAAGGAGGACCCCACCAGGAACTCGAGAGGGGCAAGGCCTACTCCTGGAGGCTGTGGCTGTAGACCACAGAGCAGGTGCCTAGCAACTGGCTTGCCTGTCTCAGAAAGCTAGTTCTGAACAAGTGTGGGCATCTGGGTCATGAGAAGCAGCTGCACAAGCTGGAAGGAAAGGTGGTGTGTCTATATGTGAGCCCCAGTCTTGTAAGTGCCCGCCTCCGCCTGCAGTGCCCTCCTGCCAGCCTCCACTGTACCTCAGAGACAGGCTCTAGCAGGGTCCCCAGCTAGCTTTCCACCTCCCCTCTCTGCTTGGTGATACGATCAGGACTCTGCTCTGGGGCTGTGCTCCCCAATGCTGCCTGGAGTGGGGCGGAGAGCGGAGGGGGAGCCTGTGGCACTCATAGTCACCTTTGCCATTCTGACTTCATCTGCTGGATGCGAGCCTCGGATTCCTGTGAGCAGGCAGAAAGGACAATACAATAAATACCAAGCTCATAAATCGGTCTCCCATAGGCAATCTGCTCTCTGTTGGGGGGTCTGTGCTAAC